CGCACACACTGAGCAGTGCCGGCAAAACTCCGCAACGTCGTGGTGTAGTAGAAACCACCAATAACGCCGTCTAATTTGCGCTTCCGTTTTCTTCTGCCCAGCGTGTCCCAAATCTCGGTGGACTGCTGAGATGGTCCTTTGGACGCAACTACGGGGTACGACGACACGAGGCTGGCCATCTCAACTATCCACAGGGTGGAGCACTCAGGATATAATCCGTAGTTGCCCCCATCGTGACGACAGACTCCGTGCTGCCGAGGATCTCGAGGCCATCAGGCGCCCAGAAGCTTTGGAGTTACCCTGCAGCTGGAGGCGGTAAATCTCGCCAATATCTATATCCCTGAATTGCTCTTCTGCCCAGTTTATTCGATTAGGCGCGAGCAATACATTAACAGACTCTAGTTCCTGGACTGGCCTTCGGGATAAGGCGTCGGCGTTCGAATGTCTGGCGCTCGGGAGATAGATGCAAGAGAAATCATACTCTTTAATCCGCTCTTGCCAACGTGCAACTTGACCGTCGGGGTCGCGGAAACTCTGTAACCATTGTAGTGAGTGATGGTCTGCCCGAACAAGGAAGTGCCCGCCGAGCAAGTAGGCCCGGAAGTGATAGAGAAAGTACACCAGGGCAAGCATTTCGCGTCGGGTGGTCCAGTAGTTAAGTTCACGTTTATCTAGGACGCGGCTACCATATGTGATAACAACTTCTCGGTCACCAGCACGTTGGGACAGTACAGCACCATTCGCAATTTCGCTAGCATCGGTATCTAAAACAAACCTTCTTGCATCGGGTGAGAAGTCCGGGTATGCCAAAATAGGTGGGGGTTAGTGCTTGCTTAAGACGGCTGAAGGCTTCATCACACACTACGGTCCACGAAAATTTCCGATCGTTTTGGGTAAGCCTGTAAAGTGGTGCACTGATGGCCGCAAATCCTTTGATAAATCTCCGGTAGTATGATGCCAGATCGAGGAAACCAAGTAACCCACGGACATTCGTCAATGTCGGCCACTCAACGATGTGTCTGGTCTTATGTCCGTCCGTTTGGGCCCAATCGGAGGACAAAATATGGCCCAGGAACAATACCTCACGTTGTAGAAACTTACATTTCTCGGCGCGGTTAGGCCAGCGTTGTAGAAACTTACATTTCTCGGCGCGGAAGGTTAGGCCAGCTCCCTTTAGGCGGCATAGTACCTCTCGCAGTTGACTGCTGTGTCCGTTCGTCGTCCGTCCGTGGACGATGATGTCGTCCAGGTAGATCAGAAAACATCTAGGGACCAGCCCTGCCAGTGCCGTCCGCATAAGCCGCTGAAATGTTGCTGGTGCGTTTGCAAGTCCGAATGGCATTGTTTCTTACTCATAAAGTCCAGGTGGAATTATAAAGTCTGTTTTCGGTCGGTTTTGGGGTGCGACTTCTACTTGACAGTAACCTGAAGACAAGTCTAGTGTTGAGAACCACTTTGCCCCTGCCACAGCATCCATTTGGTCGTCCACTCGTTGTAGGGGAAAAGAGTCGCACGCAGTGATATCATTTTATTTCCGATAGTCAACGCCCATGCGCAAATTTCCGTCCTTCTTCTTTGCAAGGACAATGGGAGAAGCCCATGGGGATGATGACGGCCGAATGATCCCGTCGTCTAATATCTCTTGAATCATGGCGTCCAGTTGGGCACGGTAGTTAATAGGGATTCTGCAAGGGGTTTGATATATAGGGTGGTGGTGCCCAGTGTGGTGGTGTCCAGTATCGATAGTATGTTGAAGGATATGGGTACGGCCTAGTTTAGATCTGTGGGTGTCAAACGAAGTGGAGAATTCATTTAATAGTTCCGTTAGGCCGTGCTTCGTCTCCGGAGGGGCAGGGCTACAGTCAACTAAGGACTGTGTTCAATGATTGCTGTGTTGTACAGACGAGAGGACATCAGGGTTTGGTTGGCAGGGGTTGTCGAACGTGATCTGTCCGCTGGTAAAGTCGATAGAAGACTCATATTTCTTTAAAAAGTCCATCCCAAGGATGGCTTCCCATATCACCGGGGCGCAATAGAACTGGTCGCCCGATGCTGACAGAAAGTAACGCTGTTCCCACTGTTTGGGGCGGTGTACCACTCGCTGTTATTAATTTCGTGCTGAATGCCGACTGACGACCACCTGCCTAAAAATTCCGTGCACCGACTACGGAGCACGAAGCGCCCGTGTCCACCAAGAAACGTACTGGGCGTTTGTCTGGGTAACCTGAGATTCTGAGTGGTGGCGTAGAATGGGAAATATGAGAAATGATAGGTACCAAATTACAAAAGGATAGAGGATCACCGGTGGGACGGATTGGGGGATTGTGAACGCAGCGGTAGGGGTTCATCCGGTTTCTCGGCCGGTTATTCCGGTTACCAGGTGGTAGCTGACGAGGACCAGGATCGGCGGTTATCTTCAAGGCATGAAGTTGTGGTTCCAGCTCTAATGTTGCCTCATAACTGCGGGCAAGTTGGATTGCGTCACATATATTATCTGGAGGATGACGGATAAGTTCTGCCTTCAGGCCAGGGTGAGATACCCTCAGGATAATCTGTTGTAGTAACTCACCCTCGATCTATATTCTGTCTTCCACCACGTAATTTTTTGCTGCGAGATCCCTGAGGCTTCCCAAAAACTGGTCCACGGACCCGCCGGATAATTGCTTTCGCTCCCTGAACCTCTCTAACTGGAGCAGAGTTGGCTGCCTGATGTTGAAGAGGTCGTTGCCCACAGGGGGGCTGGTGGCGCTTCGATTGGGGTGCCGGTTGACGGTAGTTGTCGTGCTGCAAAGTCGTCAAGTAGGTTGAGCATATACTGTCCGTACTGAGAAACTGGTACTGCTTTGAGATAGGAACGGGTTCTAAAAGACCAGGGGGTAAAATCGTCACCGGGGCAGGAGACATTGGGCGGACGCAGGGCGGGAACGGTTCGGTCGGAAGAAACAGGGGAACTCGATGTTTTCCGCGCATGTAGTACGACGGGAGATTCAAACTCAACTTTCTGATCCATTTCTTCTCCGATTCATAATGATATCTTTATTTCTGGGTCCTGTCGAAGCCAAAATTTTCTTTACCCCCAACATGAGCCTCACTGGTTCGCTTCTGAACAAGTAAACTGATGTAGCGTGGGACGTCAGGAAGTCAGCGGTATTCGATGTTCGAGAGGATGTAGCGACGGCACACGTCAGTTCTGAAATGTGCAGAAAACGGACTGGTATTAACGAATCCACACGGTATACACAGCACACATGCGCACAGGTCGGGTGGAACAGGGAAGAAGACCGGAGTGTGGTAACGACACACGTGTATTGAACCGAAACCGGAACAAGGGGGTGTACAAGTTGGGTGAAGGTCAGTCAGGGGGGTGTACAAGCGGGATACTCTTCCCTATCCAGGGCCCGTGGTGACTCGTCCGTGGTAACTGCAATAGGGGGGGAGAGAGAGAGACACATATAATGGCATATGACAGACATACAATCAGGTACAGTCGGGTTTCAACTGCGTTACAAGTTCCGTATTCAAAATCGGTGGTATTTATTGACCTTGAAGATTCGCTCAATTAAACGAATCACCAATGCAGAAAATGTGCAATAATGTATGAACATGTTCGTCATACATATACATTGTACACTATGAAGTGGCAAGCCTGAAAATGCGACAGCTTTCGGCAAATCAATTTCATTGTGCGAATACTGAGACGCGTGGTTGTCTGACCAATTAAAGCCAGATGGAAGCCCAAACAGCCAGTGGCCCGCCACCTGGCCAATCACCTGCGAGCTGGGCTTCTGGTTGTTGCAACGTCAAACTTCGAGCTCTCTGGGGCCTTCACACAGTGTTCAGCTTAGCGACAGGCTCCCAGTCGTCTGAACTACTTATCCCAGGGAGTCTGGCGTCTTCTTCTGGTTGCCGCTGACTCCAAGTCAGGAGAATTGTTGCAACCAGCTCACGTTAGGTCGATGAACATTCCATTTTTGTGTACTTCCAAAAAATTGCGCCCAAGAAGCACTGGCGCAATGAGCTGGCACTACGGGGATATTTAAACGACCGCAAATTGGACTTTTCCCCACGTAATAATATGCACAATACCTTATTTGGCATGTTGCTCACGTGATCTTTGTAGTTAAGACCTTAATTTCTGCAGCGGGTCCGACGATTTGCACGCTTAACCGTGTGGTTACCAGTACAGGTCGTAACGTTACAATCATGTTGCGGTTGTTAGCCGTGAAAAAAATTTGATTAGTTTCCCCTGTTCGGCCCGATCAAATGTCTTGATGAATTTTCGCATCATCCTTGACAGCGACACCAGATGAAGTCCCTGGTGCCTCGATTCTGTACTGGAATTGGACTTTCCAGATATGCCACAGCTGTCACGAGCTCAGGTGGTCATGTTTGGCCTTCTTCGGGGATCTGATTTTGTTTGGTATGTTGTGGAATCCTCCGTATCCATTCTTCCGTCGGCTTGCTCACAAACGAAGTGTGATCTACCAGTTGATGTCTTCCGTGATTGTTTCCCATTCCTCTTGTATAGATGTCTGACAACAGTTGATTTCCAGTCATCTGAAACAATACTCCTTTGTAGTTTCACGGTTGAGGTCAGTGCTGTGGGCGAAGCCAGCACCGGATCAGCGGATAGATCCCACCTTATGGATATGCAGGTGCTGAAGAAGATCCAGCCCCTCGAATTGCTTGGAAATCGGAGTGTTGGTTGTTCGTAATGTCTGAACAGGCGACTGAACACTGATGGAACGTGCTAATGCAAAGCATCATCATCGATAGCATGGCACCAATGTTTAACACTGATGCTTCGCTGACGCATTCAACGACTTTGTTTGAAGATCTGCTCTGCGGTTTTTCCCACCAGTAAACGAGAGCAGCTCATCTGGCCGACGCACTCGTCAGTTCTTTTAGCTTGTGTCGTTTTTCATATTCGTACATGCATACACTGCTACATATTTTCTCCTGACCTATACCTGTCACTATGTCGTGGTGGTCAGGCTTCAGTGCTGCATTGACCCTGTGGGGTATATTGGCTGGAACTCTGCTCCCCAAGGCCCAACCTTACCGGGAAGGCCAACGGTGGCCAGCCTGAAGAAGAACATGAAGCAGCCATATGAGGAGTGAAACAGTAATGCCGTGAGGCCAACCCCCTGCAGCTGACCAAGTCCGACCATTCATTCATCCACTCTGGACAGGATCTCAAAGGAAACCCCATTATCACCCCACTGCTGGGTCACACTTTCAAGTCAAAGGCTCAAGGTATGGTACCTTAAACAAACCTCCCTCGACCTGGACCACCTGAAAGTATCTTTGTCCACCAGTGTTCCTCTCTAATCTATTGTCATCACGCAGGCAAACGTTGCTCGGTCATAGGGTTGCAGTTTATTTGACCAATGTGCCTTATGTACCCTGCCGCCAATCAAACACAAACAAAATAACACTTTGCTAAGTGCGCGAGGTCCTTTATATATAGGAACTTTCAGCATCCGTATTTGGTGTCTAATTGGCAAACGCAATTCTCGCCAAGACCTGATACTCCCTTAAAATTGATGTACAGTGTGTTTCTGAAACACACAGGACCCAGTCATAATCATGCATCTCGAAACGCAAAGAACGAACTCCGCTCTTCCAGATTTCACTCTTCGCGGGGCCGGTGATCCAGAAGCATCCAGAAGCACCGTCACGAAGAGACTGGACCTTACCGTGGTGTGACGGT